GGCGCTGGAGGTGGAGGGCGCAGGGCAGGACCGGGCCATGGCTGTCTCCCTTGGGACAGGGCTCGGCCTGAGCTCTCTGAAACTTTTCAGGGCGTTTTCAGGGCATTTCAGACCCCTCACTGTAGGTTTAACCAGCACCTCGGTGCAAACACAGGTCTTTGGTCCCAAAACGCATCTTTGACATGTTGCTTTCGGTAAGGCTGATCTCTAATTCGCAACTTTCTTCCTTGTGCAGTCAGGTGGATTCAGGCAAACCCCAGGAATCAGGTAGTCTCGGCCTGGAGTCCGGAGCAATGTCGCAACAGCTCCTCTACCGTGCTCTGGTGTCTGCAAAATGGCTTTCAGAAGCCATCAAGTCTCAGCAAGCTGGCCTGGCCTTGAGAATTGTGGATGCATCCTGGTATTTGCCAAAGATGAAGCGTGACCCGAAGCGGGAATTTGAGGAGCGCCACATCCCTGGTGCAGTTTTCTTTGACATTGACCAGTGCAGCGACCGTACTTCACCCTATGATCATATGCTGCCCAAGGCTGGTGACTTTGCTGAGTATGTGGGGAAGCTGGGTGTGGGGAATGATTCCCACGTTGTGGTGTATGATGGCAGCGACCAAGGTCTCTTCTCAGCGCCCCGGGTGTGGTGGATGTTCCGGGCCTTCGGACATGAAGCCGTCTCCCTTCTGGATGGTGGCCTGAAGAACTGGCAGCGAGAGGGGAAGGAGCTGAGCTCTGGGAAAAGCCAAGCAGCTCCTACAGAGTTCCACGCCTCCTTGGACAAGTCCCTGGTGAAAACGTACGAGGACGTCTTAGATAACTTGGATTCCCAACGCTTCCAACTAGTGGATGCGCGCGCTGCAGGACGGTTCCGGGGAGTAGAGCCAGAGCCCCGAGATGGTAATGTGCCTCCTGAGACACTGGCATAATAAAAAGTGCCTTTGTTTATGGTGCCCATCGGTTTGACTGCTGTAGAGGCAGTGAAAGGAAATGTGGTTGTCCTTTATGGGATGGGACTTGAGGCCGTGTATCCATGTGTCCTCTCCTTTTGACTAGCAAGTACTGCTCACTGAAAATTCAGGAGTGGGGAAGCTGTGTCATTTTTCTTCTCATGAGGGGCTGGGGTGGGGAGTGTAGCTTTCATACACCTCAAAGATATTCATTGGTCTGTTAATGAACTGGTGCTACTCTTCCCCTCGGAAGATGCTGTTGGAGGTGCTTCAGGCAGTGCCCTGTCGGAGTGGCTCACTCTGATGCAGGGAAGATGTGGAGGGAACTGGGAGGCCAAGAGCAGAACTTGACAGCATTGTGTCCATATGGTAACCTGAAGGTTACAGTCATCCTTCCTGAGTAATCTAGTAAAGCAAAGTTTTAACAAAAATAAATGTATTTGTTTTAACAAAATGCACTAAACAGTAGATATTCCTCCCAGTGAAACAGAACAGGTTTTGCAATGGATTTGTCCCAGACAGTAGGGGTTAATTCCTATCTGTCTTGCTTTTCCTCCAGGAATTGAGCCTGGTCATGTCCCTGGGTCGATGAACATCCCCTTCACCGATTTCCTCACAGAGTCGGGCTTAGAGAAGACCCCTGAGCAGATCCGCAGTCTGTTCCAGGAGAAGAAGGTGGACCTCTTAAAGCCTCTGGTAGCCACATGTGGCTCTGGGGTGACCGCCTGCCACGTGGCTCTGGGGGCATACCTCTGTGGCAAACCAGATGTTGCTGTGTACGATGGGGCCTGGGTGGAATGGTACATGCGGGCACAGCCTGAAAATATTATCTCTGAGGGAAAGGGAAAGACGGTGTAATAAGCTGCTCCGTTTCCCAGTTGTTCAGATAATTTGCCTTGAAACAGGATTTGGAAAAGATGGGTTTAACATTCCTGGTTAAGTGCCTTGAGGTAAAGGTGTTTGGTAGCAAGTACAGGCACACGGGGCTTTGGCACTTTCTCCTTACCCTGCTGCTTAGGAACATAAAGATGACCTGGGCAGCCAGCTCTAGGTGACCCTGCTTGAGTAGGTGGGATGAACCAGATGTCCTCCCAAGGTCACTCCCGACCTCAGCTGCTCTGGGATTCTGTGGCCTTTTTACCGTATCAGATGGAAGGGAGAGAGTGCTGCTGGCAGCATGGGGAATTGAGTCAAACCAAGCTCATGACTCGGGACCATGCACACTCACAGGATGGCCGTATTTGTGTAGCTATGCCTCCTGATCCTGCTCCCTGCCTCTGTCCTGGAAGCCATCCATGTGCTTTATGGCCACGTTGAAGGCAAAACTTTGGGGAAAGACGTAGCTGTTAAAGGAGAGAATACGGCTTCCAGGTTGTCACTTAAGGAATTGGTTTGGATTTCTTCTTGCACTCGGACTCTAACTGCGATGTGTACTTAGCCAGTTTTGTACCCCCTTAGGAAAAAGAAATCCTGGGATTAAAAAAGGGTAAATAAACACGTTTCAAGGTCTTTCTGCTGAACGGAATTTATGTGAGTGTTGCTTGGGCGATTCCTTTTCAGGATCTCTATGGCATCAGTGTCTTGATGACTCAAATGATGTTTCCTTCTCCTCGTGAGTAGAACTATGTCTCTTGCCCTCCACAAGCTCTGGCCCAGGAAAGGCAATGGCATGCCTCTCTCTTGGGATTCTCAGCCCTTGTCCATTTGCTTTTTGGCCTACAACTCCACGTTAGTCACAGCTGTGTACTTCAAAGACTGGATATCAGCTCACGTGGTGAAAATTGGACAGTATGGGTGTTTTCATTCTTTCCATGATACTTAACTATGTAACCCTAAAAAAACTTGGGAGAACTGGACTGAGACCTGCAGGGGAATAGCCCACAATGGTCTTGGGGGAAAAATAGGTGTGATTGTCTTACCTCAGAGAGTTGAAATCCCCCTGGGTATCCCTGGAAATGGTCAAGAATTTGTTCTCTCTAGGATTTCTAGGATTTTTCTGCTCTTAAAGAAAATAAAAGGGGGGTGGTGGTGTAGGTGTGGGCAAGGCTGCATCTATTCTGGCCCACTGGTAAGTGAGAAAGGTAGTCACACAGGTTCTGCCCTTGGGCTTCCAGCAACAGGTACCTGTGGAAATCTGAGGATGATGGGCTCATCCTTTCTGGGGGATGCTACAGGTGCCTGTGGTCACAGATTTGCAGAGTCCTCTCCAAGTCACTGAAAACAAGGGCTTGATCCTTTCCTATTGGAGAGTGTTTATTCTTTGCATTTCCTTTGGCCTCTCCGAGCTGCAGCCCTGCTCCTTCCTGGGCTTGGCTTGCACGCACACAAGCTCCATTTCTGCTCACCTCCCGTGGCGTGAGAGTTTCACTATCCGGTGATTATTTCCACTGTCGTCCCCACCCACACATACAGCCTGACCCTTTTCCACTCATTTCCAGTGACTGAAAGCATTAAATTTCCCTACTTACATCCAGTCTAACAACCCAGCTCCTCAGGGACTTGGGGCTGGCATTACAGCAAGTGCCGAGTACCCAGAGCGCACAGGGGTCTGAAATGAGGGACCTTTTAGTACGCAGTGCAAGGCACTGATCTGGATAAAATAATAAACCTTTTATCTTTTCCAGCTTCCAGTTAGTTCTCTGGGCTTAGACTTCCCAAAAGGGCTTCCTTTGCAGGTTACAGCATGCCCTGCAAATTGTTAAGATTCTCCGTTCTGGATCTAATTGACGGTTTAATTACTTCTTCCAGCTAGGGAAAGGCTTTCTACTCCCATGCTTTATGAATTTATCCACCCAGGCAATCACTGTGATTTTTAAAGGCTGGTAGCAACACCTTGCTTTTTCTCAAGTGAGGTAATTTTCTAGCAACTGTTTCCTGCAGGGGAAAGGGAAGAACTAGTCAGTGTGTCACGTGGGACACCTAATTGCAGTCTGTAACTGAGAACAGGTAAAAATGCTTTTTAAGCTCAAGTATGGTGTTGACATGAAAACAAAAGGATAAGCGCTGGCTGGGCACAGCAAGTGGTGCTAAACTCTCTGTGGAGGGGCCTCCCAATCTGAGCAACAGGAGTGCTGCTTTATAAGAGACTTAAAGCTTAAAGATAGATGTACAAGGCAGCATTGTCTAGTATGTGATCTCGTAGCAGGATCTGGCTTGTGACATCTTTGCAGTTCAGGATTTTTAACTTCTCCCACCATCAGCCAAACTAAGGCTTTCACGTGGTGAGTTGTTAAAGTTTTTCACCCTGGGAGTGGCTGGGAGGTAAGGCTGATTTTGGGAATATGTGGCCAAGCCCCTCTGTGCAAAGAGACAAATGGGAGTGCTGTGCCTGCTCTGCTTCTCAGGAAGAGTTAGTTACTAGACAAAATTGCCATTTCTTTCCAATTTTGTTAATCATTTCCAATGGATGCAGGGGGCTAGCTTTTGGTCTTGTGCTTCCAGAATATTTGGCAGTGCAGCTTAAGCACTGTCTTTCTTTTTTTCCCACTGAGCCTAGCAGTCCCTGGGGTCAGTGGGAATATCTCTGCTTCCTCTTGAGACCGAGCTGCTTTTCTCTGTTCTGTGTGTTGCGGGGAGGTGTCTGGTGCAGCCCAGCCATCCACCTGGAGATGGCAAACTAAGTGAAAGATTCCCCTCTCCCCTTGCTCTACATTCTGACTGTGTGGCTCGATGACATCTAGCAGGGCCCTTCCGCCTCTCTGGTATGTGTGCCAAGGTTGGCAGTACCCAACTGCTCTTCTCCCGGGCAGCTTTTGAACAACAAAATCTCAGTGATTCTTCAGTTTCCCAGGTTTTGGCAAATCTTTTACCAGATGCTGTGCTTTGCTTTGCCTTGGCTTCCCCACAGAGGACAAATTGAGAATTTCCTCTCCACGACAAGATACTTTTGTCTTTCTGGGGTATGACCCATTACATCACATATCAAAAATCTGCCCAACAGTGTCTTCTGATACTCTCCCTCCGTTCAGTTGAGGTCTGTTCTCACGCTGCAGGCAAAGCACTGGAACACTGCGGAGACCGAGGCAATGTTTTCAAAGCCTGGAGACTGCAAAAACCTATTTTGAGCTGTAACAGATGCGACTGGACATATGGAACAGCTGAGGGGACTTGCACCGGGACTATAAATGTTCTGCAGATCTTCATGTCCTTAACTCGGTGGGTTTCCTGTGGGAACTGGAAACTGGGAAGTAGAGAAGTGGATATGAATGCAAATCACTAATGTTCATGACTCTGCTGTGGAAAATTTGCCACGGGTGAAGGGGAATAGCGTATCTTTGGTGGGATAGGGTTCGTGGTGGTCAAAAAGTAGCCTAAAACCCAGCCCTGATTTAGGAAGTGGGTCACATTGACCTGAGGTTGACTTGAGACTGGAGCTTCTGCAGCTCTCTGTGTAAATCTGAGAATCCCAGGGCAGCACGTAAGCTCTTGGTCTTCTCCCACAGTGGGTGGATCTTCATTCTCCCAGTCCCTGCTTTTGCCTCAGGGACTTGGGCTGTGTGGCTTGAGCACTTCCCAGTGAAGACTGAGGCAAAAAATTTATGGAGTACCTCAGCTTTCTCTATATCCCAGGTAACCAGCTCTCCCACTTCCTTCCAGAGAGGGCCCGCATTTTCCCTATTCTTCCTTTTATCACCAGTGTACATACAGAAGCCCTTCTTCTTGCCCTTGATGTCCCTGGTCAGATTTAATGCTATCAGGGCTTTAGCTTTCCTAACCTGATCCCTGCTGCTCAGACAATTTCTCTGTATTCCTCCCAGGCTGCCTGTCCTTGCTTCCACCCTCTGTAGGCTTCCTTTTTGTGTTTGAGTTTGTCTGGGAGCTCCTTGGTTTTCCACGCAGTCCTCCTGGTGTATTTGCCTGACTTACTCTTTGTTGGGATGCATTGCTCCTGAGCTTGGAGGGGGTGATCCTTGACTATTAACCAGCCTTCCTGGGCCCCTCTTCCCTCCAGGCCTTTATCCCACGGTATTCTACCAACCAGATCTCTGAAGAGGCCAAAGTCTGCTCTCCTGAAGTCCAGGGTAGTGAGCTTGCTGTGTCCCCTCCTCGCTGCCCCAGGGATCTTGAACTCCACTATTTCGTGGTCGCTGCAGCCAAAGCTGCCCTTGAGCTTCACATTCCCCAACAGCCCCTCCCTGTTGGTGAGAACAAGGTCCAGCATGGCACCCCTCCTCATGGGCTCCTCTCTCACTTGGAGAAGGAGGTTGTCATCGATGCATTCCAGGAACCTCCTGGCTTGCTTTTGCCCTGCTGTGTTGTTCTGTCAACAGCTACCAGGGTGGTTGAAGTCGCCCATGAGGACCAGGGCTTGTGAGCATGAGGTTGCCCCTCTCTGACTGTAGAGGGCCTCATCTGCTGGGTCTTGCTGGTCGGGTAGCTTATAGAGACCCCCACTATAATGTCACCTGTCTCTGCCCTCCCTTTAATCCTGACCCATAAGCTCTTGGTCACCTCCTCATCCATTCCCAGGTTGGTCTCCCAGCTGTTCATTGACATAGAGGGTGACACCTCCTCCTCATCTCCCCTGCTTGTCCTTCCTAAAGAGCCTGTATCCTTCTATTCTGACACTCCCGTCATAGCAGCCATCCCACCAGGCCTCCGTGATGCCAATAAGATCACAGCCCTGCAGGTGCATGCACATCTCTTAACTCCTTTTGTTTATTCCCCATGCTCCGCTGGGCCCCTGATGAAGCTCGCTTACTGGCTGGAGTGGCTGGAATTCCGTCGTGGTGCTCTTCAGATGCTGTCCAGCTGACCTGTGATCCTTCTCCAGGTTCTGGGCATCTGTTGCTGGCACTGGCATCAGACTGGTAGGAGTGGGATGGATTGAAGTTCCCCTCCACCAACGACTTTAGTTTAAAGCCCTCTTCACCTGGCAAGCCTGTGGCCGAAGATGCTCTTCCCTTTTTCTGACAGAGGGACCCCATCAG